CTTTTCTTCAACCCACGAGACCAACATCGCCTTGCCCCATGTCGTAGGTGCAGGTCCCAACTTTTCCAAAGAGAAGATATCTTCGATTGTTCCCAGAACATCATTGCAAAAGCTTTTCAGAAAATCAGCAGGCCATATATGGGTTCCTCTCCCAGACGACTGGAGTACGAGGATTCTGAGGATTCCGCAAGGATAGTCAGGTCTGTCTTATTCGGACCGTGGTTTTACAAGATCCTTGGTATGTATTTTTTGTTCCGAGAAATTCGGGAGGTGCAATGGGAAAGGGAGTACCGGGAAATTTACCCATGGAATATCGGATGATTTACGGTCACTAGCTAAGGTTACGAGTAATGGTAAGGAACTTTTCATGCACTGTAAATTTTCGTTGTGGGAATCTCAGAAAGGGTCGTATTTGGCAGCTGTGGGGACGGCGGTTCGTATTGTTCCCAAAAAGTACTTAGGCAGCCGCGTCCAGCATTTTTCCTCCCCACTGCCAAGGATCCGTGAAAAACCTCGCGTCTGTTGGCCAAAGATCAGTCATCCGTCTCCAAACGCCGGCAATCGCTTCAATCCACCGCGGTCTCCGCTTTCCTTTTCCGATAGCAATCACCCGAATTGGTCAAGCGTAAAATCGATAATTGATAGGAATGACTAGGAGTGAGGTCGCCCGCCGCTGTGCAGATGTCGGGTAGCGACCATTTTGGGTTCTTTCAAGGTAACCGGCCAAAGACGGTAAGACCGCCTGGAATAAAGCCTTCGGAGGAACTCGTTCGCACACACGCCCAACACAACGGAAACTTCAAGCCGAATGGTCCAATAAAGTCACTCGCAAACAAAGCGGGATAAAACTTCAAAGAATGCCGAGTGGTGATGTTTGATTTGGAGACAGGAGAATGAGTAACGAGTAACAACGCCCTGTCACACACACAAAGCGGTTGCGTTGTCCACAAGTTCGAATACGGTAAATATGAGTTGTACTCTAGTAAATAAAGAATCCAATTAAGCACATTGCTCGCGGTCATCAGAACAGCTTATAAGCCGAGGAACTGAAGTTCCCTAGCTTTTCTAAAGAGTTACTAAAGAGAAAAAGCTGAGGAAAAATACCGAAATCCAAATGTGAGTAGGAGTTTTGACTGCTCACCGAAGAAGTCAATAGCGCAGAGGCAAGAACCCTCGCACAGAGCCAATCAATTGGCTGGTTTGTTCCCGCCTCAGGCATAAAAAGGTTCATCTATCGAGAAAGAAAAAGCGAGAGGTCAAAAAAGTCTGAAAAAGGCATTTTTCCGCCATTCCTTGAGCTGCACAGACACTTTGCCTGGCAGCAAATAGAAAATGAAGAAATAGACCATTGGGAAAAAGCAGC